TTCTGTATTTTATTTGGAAACAAATAAACATTTATACAATGAGGAAGACTATTTTTACTGAAAGTAATAACCAAATAATAACCAAATCTTGCAAGTCTGAACATGTTATACCTCCACCACTTCTTATACTCATGTTAATTAGGAAAGCATCTGTTTGATCTGCTTCTGCCAGATTTTTAGACTTTTCCCCCTCATCACTTTAGTAATGGAGCCAATTTATCTTGATCAATATCATCTTACTTACTCTCTACAATTATAGGTATAAGATGAAGCTTGTGTATCAGTCTTCTTGTTACACTGCAACTTCCCTACCCGAGTGCTGGATTTTGTGGTGAGTTAGGGGTACAGTTTCTGACTTACTGTTCTGGGGGATTTCAACTTGCCTTTCAAGAATTAGAGTATTTCAGGAATTCATGGCCAACATGGACCTTATCTAGATTATTATCTCATACAGATCTGCCTAGATCTGGTGCTTATCTCAGGGTAGTTTGATGTGATTTTTAGTTGGGCGATATTGTTATCAATTCCTGTCTGTTGTGCAAGGTACACTAAATTAAGAAACCAACATCATATAGATTATGGCTACTTTTATTGTAACAGCTATAGTAACAGAATCTTGCAAGTCTAAATATGCTTCCCCACTTCTTCACTTTATGAACTAGGGAGGGGCAATATCTGAGATGTTTTCTCAAAGTTTATAGACCTGCCTATCTGACTACTGTCCTGATAACAAGGCAGTTCTCTGTGCCTCCTACAATACTTTGTTAGGCATATTGCTCCATTAGCCTTCAGGTTTTTTCTAGGTAGTTACTACCATGGCAGGGAGAAAGTCTCAGTACTTACTGGTAAGGAAAGCTCATGGGAACCTTTAGACTTGTTAAAGAATTATTCTAAGCATTTATCAGATGAAATTGCTTGTATCTACTAGGAGTTAGAACCTATGATTGAGCCCAATCTAGTCTAGTCAGTCCTCTCAGGAAAACCTGATAGGAAACAGGACTAGATGAACTAATTCTACTTTATTGCAAGGTTACATTAACAGAATTTTGCAAATCTGAAAGTACAAATTTTCCATTCTCATTTTTAACTGATTAATCCATTAGAGTGAGTCTTTCCTAAGTTTCTTTCTCTGATAGTTAAACCACTGGGGGCTCTTGCCTCTCTTGTCTGTTTCCTAGGCAGCATCTCTTCTCCTTTTTTCTCAAGGTCATCCACATTCCTTTACATTGTTTGGGCTGAATTTGAGCCAATTGCTTCCAAGGAACTGGACAGGATCCTTGGGGCACTGAGTTCTGCTACCTGTGTATTAGATCTATGTCCCCTCTGGCTAGTCAAGGCTTTTCAGGAGGTGACATATAGTTGGTTCCAAGTAGGAGTGAATGCCTCATTTTAGAAGAGAATAACATTTTTGGGAAGGTGGTTAAAAAGATGGTAGGCTTACAACTTCAAAGGGTTTTGGAGGAAGCAAATTATCTAGACCATAAACCAGCGATACCAATTTTAAAACCAGCCAAACCAAAAGGCAGGAGAGAAAGCTATCGCCCAATAGCCCTTTAAAGCTCCTGTTAAAAACTCTTAGAAACAGTATGCCTAAACAGGATTGGCTCTAGAATTGAAGAACATCTTGGTGGAACAAGTAGGATTTTTACAAAACCGAAACTGCGAAGATCAGATGCTGAGCCTAACAAGTCACATTGAAGCAGGATTCCAATGAGGCCTTAAAACCACAGCAATTTTTGTGAAGCTGACCATAGCCAACAACACGGCCTGAAAGGAACGTATGTTATACAAACTACAACTGATCGTCCCATACCAAGACTATTCATCTTATTAATAATATGCTATGCGACAGTACTTTTCAAATAATAATGGGAGGGGGGGGAGCAAAGTGAAAAGATTAAATAATGGCTTACCACAGAGCTCTGTCTGGCTCCCACTTTGTTCAGCCTATGTATATTGACATGGCAATCACCAAAAGTTGGAAATTCACTTACATGGATGACATGGCCCTAGCAGCCCAAGAGAAACAGACGAAGGATGCTGACAGTTCCCTCAAAGAAGACCTAAAAGGTCTGGGGATGTTCTTTGCTGAGTGGAGGCTCACTCCAAGCATGGGCAAAACAGAAACAATATGTTTCCACCTCAATAACAAAGAAAAAAAGATCCAAGATATACTTCAACAACTAGACATAAGGAGTTTTTTCCCCCATGCTGTCACTCTGCTTAACAACTAATTCCTACAACAATGTCAAAATACTTAATAAAGCTGTGATACTCCTCATCTTTCCTATTACCTATCCTTATCTTCTTATGACTATAACTTTGCTGCTTATATCTTACAATTTATTTATTTTTAGTATCCTATATGATTTATGTTGTCTGCTTAGCTAGTGCTCTATGACTATCGCTAAGTGTTGCATCTTATGATTTATGATGAAGAGTTGTATTTCACGATTTATGATGAATGTATTTTCATGTTGTATATGATCATGATTATAATTATTACTTACTGTATATGTACACTGAGAGATTATGCACCGGAGACAAATTCCTTGTGTGCCCAACCACACTTGGCCAATAAAGAATTCTATTCTATTCTATTCTATTCTATTCTATTCTATTCTATTCTATTCTATTCTATTCTATTCTATTGCTGCCTTATAACCCCTTTCCAAAATATATTGGTGTAATGCTGGATTGAACTCTCTCTTACAAGAAACACATAGAGAATACTGCAGCAAAAATTAATATCAGTAATAATATACTCTATAAATTTTGTGGCATTAAGTGGGGTGCTTCTGCCTCTATACTTAGAATCTCAGCATTGGGATTGGTGTATCCTACAGCTGAATATTATGGCCCTGTTTGAATGAACAGCTGAGTATAAATAAACTGGATACCAGACCGAATGATAGAATGTGAATAATAAGTAGGTGCATCAAGACCACGCCAACCTGCTGGCTTCCTATACTAAGCCATATTGCCCCACTAGCCTTATGATGACAAGATGCACTTCTCAGAGTGTACAAAAAAAATACCAGTAACTCCCAACTGTTGGTGTAGTTTCATATGCCACACTTATCTATTGGAAGGCTCAAATCCAGGAAACTCCCACTGAAACTTGTACAGCAGCGGCATAACACTAACTTTGATGTCAAATCCCAGTGAAAAGTAAACCAAACTATCAAATGTCCAAATTCCCCAAAAAATATATCTGACCTGACACAAAACTTAACGGGTTTCAATGCTACCCACCAGTGCTGGAAAACTTTGAATAGGAACCACACCTTACATGACATATGCCAAGACTCTGTTTAAATGGGGCAGAGGATCGTCCTCTGAATGTGACTATGGTGATCCTTGTCAGACAATGGATCACATAGTGATTAGCTGCCATTTGAGAGCATATACAGGAGGAAAAGCAGACTTTCTCCAACTAATAGATACTTCACTTAACTGGATAAATGGCCTATATATTAATAGATAGAACATTTATTCTATTCTTATGAATCAATGTATTTTAAAACATAACCTATAACATACTTTTTTGAATTTCTTAAAGCTTACAAAATTGACCACATATTTCCATCATACGTGTACTATAGTATTATGTGTTCCTTTTATATAATTTTATTATTTATTTATTTAGAACATTTATCTGCCATCCATCTCGTATCCAATTACTTTGGGCGGCTTATTACTGTTATTCATATGCTCTATACACTAAATAAATAAATACCAGTTGGTTTTAAGCCAGGTTATAATATAAATCTGTAGTACTAAAATGGCAATGATCATACTCAGATGACCTCTACCAAATTCAGGATCAGCAGAGTATATCTGTCCTGACTGATGACGGTTTTGATACCATCAATCAGATATCCTTTTGGCCTAGTTGAGGGGGTTGGGAGTGAGTGGTATGGTTCTCCAGTGATTGGTCTCCTTCCTCTGAGGTTGGTTCAAGTAAATGTTGATAGAGGAAAAGAGGGCCACTATCCTCTGCTTTACAAGTTGGCACAGGATTCGATTCCCTCCTTGTTTCTGTTTAGTCTCTACAGAAAAAGCAGTATTGACTCCCAATAAGTTTCTGGGTGCAATTCAAGATGCTAGTTGTCATCTGTAAAACATTAAATAGTATGGGACAGTTTACTTGTGGCACCTCTTATTCCCAATGGTTTCCGCCCATTTCACTGATCAAGCAGAATGAGCATGTTACAGATCTCCTTGATGAAGCAGCTTCACTTGACAGATCTTAGGAAGTGTACTTTTTCTGTCATGGAACCTGCCTAATGGAACAACCTCCTCTTCACCCCTCCCCCAAGATTCAGATGACTTTGATCCCAGAAGGACATGAAGGCCTGGCTTTTCCTAAGCACTGGGGCAGATGTTAATGGAGCCTATATATGTGTGGGACATGCTGGTAAAGTAGTAGTACAGTGACCTCAACTTTGTTCTTTTAATGGGTTGTGTATTACTATATGTTATAACCTTTGACTGGTTTACTGCTCAGAATTCTCATTGATAGGAAGCTATATAAATGTGTTATAAAAATTGGGCTGAGTAATTTACTCAAAGACACTGATCATGGCTACATATTTGATTCTTACTCAAAATTCTGATGTGCCCACAGGATCAATACTGAATGTAACTCAATGTGTTCCTACAAATAAAATTCAGCATAAGTATGCAGAATAGATTACTCAAAGCTAAATAGTAAAATTAATCACAATAAAGTAGACATATGATTCAAAGTATACTTAACTGTAAAAAAATTCTGAAATTATATCTAATGAGATTTCTTTCTTCAATGTACTATTAAAAATTATAACAAAACAGGACATTTGGAGAGGGGAAGTTGGAATTTCACAGGACCGGATGATTCTTGTAAGATTTTAAGATTTTTATTTAATGGTGGAGGAAATTCCTGGACCCTCAAGCCAGACAGTAAATTGCATTCAATCCTTGAAAAAGTTGCTGATCTCTATTTTATGAAAACTCACCTATACAACTTCTGGCGTTCTTCCAATTCCTTACGTCTGAGATGCTTAAGGATTGGAGTCTTCTCATTATCCAAAAGCTTGGCTGCAAAAGTAATGATATGCAATGATAATTTAAAGATGTGAAATATACAAATGCTTTATTTTTATTTAATGTATTTTAAAACCATTACAATAAAAAAGATTGCCAGCAGTTTATATTCTTTTAGGAAATTATTAGTTTTCCTCCCTGTCAAATTGATAGAAGAGCCACTTACAATGAATCTCAGCTCCCCTTGGTCTGCTCAATACTCCCCAGTATTAATTATTTATTTATTTATTTATTTATTTATTTATTTATTTATTTATTTATTTATTTATTTATTTATATATATCCTGCCTTTATTATTTTTAGTAATAACTCAAGGTAGAGAACATTATCCATTCTAATTTTCAAGCATTCTAATTTCTGAAGGTAATGCTATACTGATCAGAGTCATTGCAGGATCTTTTTCTATATTAATTAATTTCCAATATCTGAGTTTGACATATCTAAAGTAATGCTCCTGGGCATTATTGCTAAGTGTCTATCAGACTCTCAGTGTTTTTCAATGTTTTGTTCCCATGCAATCTAGAAAAAGCGGCGTTGTTCTTACCTGAACGCCTTTTCTCAGCAGAGTGGTGTAGAGTCCACAGGATGGGTTAATGATGCAATCCTGCCTAGCAGAACTAAGACAAGAAAAAAACTCTTGCCACGCCTCCCTCTGGGTGTGACTTCCCCAGTTTTTTGGCACATGTCGAGGCGCAAAATGCAGACGCAAAGCTCCAAATAAAAGAGAAAGGAAAGAAGCAAAGGACACATGTCTAGACAAGAAATAACAGGGGGGGATGTGGACTCTACACCACTCTGCTGAGAAAAGGCGTTCAGGTAAGAACAACGCCGCTTTCTCCAGCAGATGGTGGTGTAGAGTCCACAGGATGGGACATACCAAAGCCGCTCATGTCCCTGAAGGGAGGGAGTCTAGGCATGTTCAACAGAGGGAGCGACTNGCTGCCTCCCTGAACAGGAATGGATCTAGCTTCCATTCTGAGTGGTCTATGGTGGCTCTGCTCAGGGAGTCCGCTTGTAGATTGTTCACCCCCGAGATGTGATCCGCTCGGATGGATTTCAGGTTGGTTTCCGCCCAGAGACCCAATGCCATGGCCTCCTGCATGAGAGGCCAAGAGTGGGTCCCTCCCTGTTTGTTTACGTGCGCTTTTGCTGTGATGTTGTCCGTCAGGACTAGTATGTGTTTCCCTTTTACCAGGGGAGAGAATTCCCGAAGAGCCAGGTGAACTGCTCTCAGCTCTAACCAATTTATATTGTGGGTCAGGTCTGACCGTGACCACCGACCCTGGGCGAGGTGATTGTGGATATGAGCCCCCCAGCCGAATAGGCTGGCGTCTGTGGTCAGGGTAACCCTGGACGGCTCCTTGAAGAATGTACCCCTGGAAATGGCGGAAGAAGTCCACCAGAGCAGAGATACCAGCGTCTGGTGTGGAACCCTGACCCTTGATTTTGATGCACTGAGGTTGCGTCTCTGATATGGGAGAAGGAACCACTGGAGACTCCGGGAACGAAGTCTGGCCCATGGCACGATGCCTAAGCAAGAGACCATCTTCCCTAGGAGTTGTGAGAGACGCACCAGGGGCACCCACTTGTCCTTGCGGACCTGGAGTGCCAGTGTCCGGATGCTGACTTGACGTTCCGGAGAGAGGTAAACCTCACAAAGGTCTGAGTCTATTAAGGCTCCTAGATGAATAAGTCGCTTTGTGGGGACCGTGTGGCTTTTTTTTGAAATTCACAGAAAACTCGTGTTCCTGAAGAGTCCTCAGGGTAATCTGTAGATCCGACTCGGCGGAGTGAAGGGACCTGGACAATACGAGTATGTCGTCCAGGTAACACTGGACACGCACCGGCCTCATCCGTAGATGAGCCGCCAGCACTGCCAGGACCTTTGTGAAGACCCGGGGGGCTGAGGACAGGCCAAAAGGAAGAGCCCGATACTGGTAATGCCTGTGTGCGTAGGCAAACCTCAGGAACCTGCGGTGTTCTGGCAAGATTGGAATGTGGAGATAGGCCTCCGTCAGGTCGACGGAGGAGAGGAAGTCTCCCTTCCTGACGCTTGCCAAGATGGATTTTAGGGTCTGCATCTTGAATTTCTTGTAAACAAGAAAGCGGTTGAGACCCTTCAAATCCAAGATGGCTCGCCAGCCCCCCGAGGTCTTTGGGACCACGAACAGTATTGAGTAAAACCCGGTTCCTACCTGATCTGAAGGAACCCTTTCTATGGCCCTGATGTCCAGCAGATGGTGATCGCTGTTGTTACCAGGGAGGCCTTTGACCTATTTCTTGAAACCGGACACTGAATGAAACGGTCTGGAGGGTAAGACTGAAATTCTAGGGAGAGACCATATCTTATGGTCTCTCTGACCCAGGCGTCCGTGGTGGTGCCCTCCCAGACGTCGCAAAACAGGGCCAGCTGACCCCCGATGGGATAGTCCCCTTCGGCGTCATTTGGATCGCCTAAAGGGTCGCCCTCCTGAGCCCCTGAAGGGACGCTTGGACTGGGACTGGCCCCTGGCTCCTCCACTCTGGCGGTCCTGCTGGCGGTCTTGCCTAGGAAGGTAGGACCATGAGCCTCTGGGCCAATCCCAGGACTGCCCCCCCGAAAGGGCTGTCTCCACTCCCAAGAGTCACCCGAACGAAAGGATGACCTGCGATAGCCGGATTGAGGTCTCCTATCAAATTTCTTTGAAGGGTGGACCAAGATTGTCCTTGCCTTCAGATACGTGAGGGTCAAGGACAGCACCAAACAGATTTTTACCGCTGTATCTGGACGTAGAGAGGCGCCACTTGGATTTAAAGTCCGTGCGCCATTGCTTTAGCCAGAGGAGTCTTCGCGACGCCACCGTGGCAGCAATGGAACGAGCTGAACATTTGGCAGAATGTAATGAAGCATCAGCTACGTATTCCGACGCAGCTATTATCTTACCCAGATTCTGATGGGCTCTGACCTGGTCAGGTGAAATAAGCGTCTGAAGGTCCCGCAGCCACATGATTGCAGCGCGGGCAAAGAAGGAGGACGAGGTGGCTGACCGTATTGCCCAGGCCGAAGATAGATGAGCCCTGCGGCCCAGGAATTCAAACTTCTTATCCTCCGCCTTTAAATACTCAGCCATGTCTCCTGGAATGGTGGTGTTAGAAAACAGAGAGGCCAGCGGAGCATCCACGGAAGGAACCTCTAAAAGGGATGCAAAGGAAGATGACACATTATATAATTTCTTATCCAAACCACTAGGAGAAGGCGTGGAGGCAAGAGAAGCCCACTGATTCTCCACCGTAGACCTGAATACGGAGGGGCATGGAATCTGCTGATCCTCCTTGACCTTTTCCAGGAACAAGGGGCTGGTCTCCTGGGCAGAGGAAGTAGAAGGTGCCTCCTCCTGAGCCGAGGTAAGTTTGACCGTGGCTATGGCCTTGGTGAGTATGGACCTGAAAATGGAAGGATCGAAGAGGTCTGAGTGTATTCCCTGCTCTGGAACTGGCTCTTCATCCTCTGATAACATGAGCCCAGTTGACTCAATGTCAAAGGAATCGCCCTCCCCCACTTGCAAGGAGGTCTCTGAAACCTCAGAACGAGGCCCCAAGTATTGCCCCTCCTGGGAGGGCGGAGCTGGTATGGGAGAGGCCTGTGTCTGTTCCTGGCCTTGGCCTGCATATGTCATGAACTGCCTAAATGCATGTTGCATAAAGGCCTGAAATTGGTTCTGGGACCACATCTCCTCAGGGTCCCCAGGACTGGCCCTAACCGCAGGTGGGACACGCCTCATTGAAGTCTGCTGAGATGAAGAAGATAGGGGAGAGGAGGAATGATGAGGCCCAACCTGCTCGGTTTCCCCCCGAGGAGACAGAGGTGGTGGATCTTCCTGTGTAGGGAGAGATTCCAGTGAAGGCGTGTCCACTGGGGGGGGGAAACCAATCCAACCCCAGTGGCTCTCAGTCTTTGAGCCTTAGAAAATTCACGTTCCAATGCAATGTGTCTCCTCGAGNGACCCAACTTTTGTGACCAAATGTTTGGTCTTCGCTTTTTTCTTCCTACCCTCCCCTGCTGCTTCTTCTGATCTGCGCTTTGTGTGCGCAGGGGAGACAGCGGTCTGAGTTGCCTGGGGCGAGGAACTGTCTGCCATTGCGTTCAGGGCACTTCTAGACAGTCGTACCCAGAAATGGGGGAAAGTAGTACGCAGATCGCGCAGTCAGAGATGGAACACAAGGGATCCTCGCTCCGAACCGCCAACAATGACCAGAACAGCCAGACAGTGTTCTAAAACTGTCTGTACAGGCCCTGTGACAAAAGGTCACTGGCTAATGCAGCAGGTGGGCAAAAAAACGAGAAGGCTTCACTCCTCTCCCTATAAACAGGGCCTAAGGAAAGGAACCTTAGGAGATCCCAGTCCAAAATCAGTTGTAAAGAAGGAAATTGACTCACTGAATGCCTGAATTAGGTACTTTCTTCCCCCTGAACAGGCCTGCTCACAGGCCAAGGCACTCAGGCAGTACAGGCACGAGATAAAGGTCACCACGAAGTCTTGTTCAACAGCAGCAATATTCTGTTGCTCTTTATTATTTGTTATGTTTTATTGCTATCTTAATTTTTTAATTATTTTTTTTTTAATAATCCTTATACCTAAACTATTAATATCCTTATACCTATTAAATATATGTCTTTATAAATATTATTTTATTTTATTTTATTTTATTTTTTATTTATTTTTTTTTAACTTTAATACCTAAGTATTAATATTATTACTCCTATAACCAAAATATTAATTTAGCAAAAATAAAAGGTATTGTTTCTGATGAGCAAATGGAGAAGAGTAGAGGAAAGTAGGCCCGGGAATAATGGCGCCCGCCACGTGGACCTCCCAAAATGGCGGCCGCGGTGATCTTAGACTCGCTGGCCACCGGGGAGCTTGAAAACACGGGAAACGAAGGGACGCGAAACCTCAAGCGACTTCCCCCTCCCCGAGCCCAGAAACTTGCTCTAAACTTGCTATTAGATGCGC